CTCTTCTTTACATCAGACCTTAGTATGTGCTCACACTGCGGTGTAACAACACACGGGGCTCTGCTGCCCTTGATGAGACTCGCTCCTCCTTACCCCCAGATAGGCTCCACTGCGGTAAGCTAGTGGGCTGCTACTGCTGGATCTCCATTGCCCAAGGGAGCGGCTGGGGCTTCAGTTACTCAGCTGAAACTTGTCAACTACCCAAACGAATAAATGTGCAGGCTGCGGGCTTACTATTCCTTCTCCCTAACCATCACCACAGAATCCTAATGTATGGGCAATCGACTTTATAGACCCTCAGAAAATTCAATCTAATCATGTATTTATTACTCTGTGTGACTGTCTGCTCGAGCTACTGCAGGAGTATGAGGGTCAGGGACAACCTTTTGGAATTGGCTTTTTCCTTCCACCAAGTGGGTCCTGCGTTTTGAACTAAGGTTGTTGGCCTTGGCAGCAAGTTCCTTTACCCACTGAGCCATCCAGACATCCCATTGCGGGTTGAGTTCTCTGACTTAGCCCCATGGGAATAGACATCCTCGGCAGTCCATCCAGTCTGAGGTGCATACACCCCAGCAAAGCTGGCCTCTTGGAATCTCTTGAAGGAGTCTCTCCTTTTCTATCACGTCCCCACTGGGCCCTAAGAATCTCCATCCAGTGTTTACCTAAGTCACAGGAGTCAACTATTTAAAAAGAGACATTCATTTTTGTTTTACAATGTTTTAAAAAATTATTTTTTAATTTGTGTTTTTATGAGCTTTGAGTGTATGTAAGTGTACCACATGTATGCCCGGGGTCCTCAGAAGCCAGAAGAGGGGCATCTCCTGGAACTGTAGTGACAGGTAGTTGTGAGCCACAATGTAGGTCTTGAGAACTGAATCCTGGTTGGTTCTCTGCAAAAACTACCAAATACTGAGTCATCCTCCAGCCTTTGGTCATTTGTGTGTGTGTGTGTGTGTGTGTGTGCGCGCACGCGCATGTAAGTGTGTGTGCACTTGTGTGAGCACTCATGCATGGAAGCACATACATGTGTGCATGTATGTATATGTGAGCATGTATGTATGTGTGTGCATGTATGTATGTGTGTGCATGTATGTATGCATGTGCATGCATGTGTGTGTGTGTGTGCATGCATATGCAGTACATGTATGCCACAATGCTCCCATGAAGATCAGAGGACTCAAAAGAGTCTACCAAGGGGGTCCAGGGAATCAAGCGAGCACCGCTAACCGCAGGGTCACCTCCCCAGCCCTGGTGTGTGGCTTTCCATTAGTGAGACCAACAGCTGTGACAGTGACCTCCAGGAAGAAGTCTAAGATCCTACAAACTGTGCACTGATTCGGAAGCAGTTAACTTTCCCGGCAGAGGAAATCAGGCTTTTGATATGGCCTAGATCCCTCGTCCTCCCTTCTGTTCCGGTTGTGGAATATTCATTATAGAAGATGAAGGTTATCAGGGAATACTTGAAACCAAATCTAGAAAACGGTAACAATGTCAGCACTTCCTGCTTATGCAGAGTTTTATCTTATCAAAACCTTTAAAAAAAAACTTTTTTTTTAAAGCTCAGCATTGTAGAGCACGCCTTCTATTCCAGCACTTGGGAGGCAGAGGTAGCCAGGTCACTAAGTTTGAGGCCATCCTGGTCTACATAGCCAATTCTAGGACAGCCCAGGCTGAATAGTGAGACCTTGACCCCCATTAATTTTTTTAATTACATTTATTTATTGTCTGTGTGTCTACACCTGTGCTGCAGCCTGTGCGTAGAGGTCAGGAAACCACTTGGCGAATCAACTCTTCTTCCCTTCCACCCGGTGGGAATCGAACTCAGGTCATCAGGCTTGGCAGCAGGTACTTTTACCAGCAGATCCATATCCCTCACCCTGTCTCTGTTTTTAAAGACAAGGTCTCCTGTATCACAGGCTGACCTGGAACTCACTAAGTAGCTGAGGTGACCTTAAAAAGGTTGCATTTTGTTTGTTTGGTTTTTATTATTACCCACTGGGATCTGGCTTTATTGTTACTGCTTTGTTTGAATTTATTTATTTTTAGATTACATGTGTGAGTGTTTCATCCGTATGTCTGTCTGTATACCACATGTATGCCTAGTGTTTTTGCAGGCCAGAAGAGGATCTCTTTGAACAGGACTTACAGTTAGTTAGTTGTGAGCTGCCTTGTGAGTGCTGGGAACTGAACCTAGGTCCTCAGCCAAAGTAAGATGTACTTTTAACTGCTAAGCCATCTCTCCAGCCCGAGCCCTCCTTGAGTCCGTTATCTTTCCTGCCATCACCACTAGCCATTAGCACACATGAAAAGCTTTCCTGAATTTCCCCCACTAGGACCTAGCTCTGAGAGATCATTAAGGCTTCTCTTCTTTTCTATACAGATGCTATAATTTGATTTTCCTGACTGGGGGGTGGGTGGGGGGGCATGGCTCAGTAATAGAATACTTGCCCATCATGTGCAGAGTCCTGAGTTCAAACCTAAGTATCAGAAAAACAATACAGATTTCCCTTTTCACAACATTTCAAAATGCATGCTTTCTTTTCTATTACATGCTATAATATATGGTATATCTATGTGTATATGTGTGTGTGAGTGCCTGTGCATGCAGAGGCCAGTGGTTGACATTGGGTGCCTTCCTTGATTGCCTTCCACCTTATTCTTTATTGAGGCCAGGTCTCCCTTCTGAGTCACAGCCTCTCAAGTGCTAGGATCACAAGCAAGCCACCTGGCTCTCCTGCCCTGTACCTGGGTTCTGTGACTCGGAACTCAGGTCCTCATGCTTTCACGACAAGTGACTCACACACTATGCATGCATGGGTGTGTATGTGGTTTAGCCAAATAGTCCAGGCCAGCCTCGAACTCATGCTGTCCTGCCTCAGTCTCCCCGGGGTTGAGATCATGGACATGTCCAGCCACAATGGTTTTCACTCTGACCAAAATCACTTTCAATCTCACAATATAGAAGGGAGGCTGAGAACATGGCAGGGCTGGGCTACAGCTCAGTCCAAGTGCACCCCTAGCATTCATAGAAGCCTGGGTTGGACCCCGGCACTTCACAAACCAGGCTAGTGGTGCACACCTGTAATCCCAGCACTCAGGAGGTAGAAGCAAAAGGAACTGAAGTTTAAGGCCATCCTTAGCTACATAGTTAAGGCTAACTTGGACTACATGCCACCCTGTCTCAAACAACATCAAAACCATAGAAATTTTAAAAAGAGGGTGAGAATGTAGTAGAGACATAGCTCCAAATGGTCTCCTAGGACACCGGGATCCTCACGTCTGGTCCCCCCACAATCATAACTCATGCTAAATGACAAACGCTGGAAACAGAATCCTCCATATGGCACTGGGTAAATTACTAAACCTCTTCCTGCTTTTGAGCTCCCATCTGTCACGTAAGAACAATACTCCTTGCTTTTTCAGGCTGGTATGCATATAAGAACAGGAGAGCATTCCTTATTTAAAAAAGTAAAATAGCAGTGTACTAAAATACTAGAAAACCAGGCAGAATGAGTCCCGAAGAAAACCAAAGATCTTGTATCCGATGTTAGTCAAATAATTCCTAAGAAGAGGGAGCTTACTAAATAACCAGAAATCTGGGGTGTTACTCAGAAGTGACTAGGACATGAATAAATAGGGTCCGGGCTGAAGTTAGTACTGTGGATTTTATAACCAAGCCTCGCCCCCCCCCCAATTTACAGTTTACTAGATAAAACTCAGTATACTTAGGAGTGACCCCAAAGCATGCCTGTAATAGCCATTACAGAGGTTGGAGGCAGGAGGATTCTGAGTTCCAAAGCAAGCCCTAGCTACATCATGAATTAAAAGTCAGCCTGGACTGTATGAGACCAGTCTCAAGACAAATTAAAAAAGAAAAAAGTGGAATGGTGAGCTGGCTCAGCAAGTACGGGAGCTTACAGCCATGCCTATTGACCTGAGTTTGATCCCCAGAACCCACGTAGTGGAAGGAAATTGCTGATTCCTACAAGTTATCCTCTGACATCCACAGAAGCCATGGAACCTACATGCCCCTACAGTACAACATAAAGGAAGTAAATGTAACTTTACCGGGGGCGGGGGACGCGACGGGGAAAAGAAAAGAATATCCCATTCTGATCCTCATCCCTTCGGGAAAGTTAAGCTATCTGCCAGGATAACCCTTTGGCTCTTTGCCCTTAGTACATTTCGTAAGTCGTCTACCCTCTAGCTAGCATTCCGGAGCCTGAAAGATTAGAATCTGCACCTGATCCCTGGCTTCCTACCTGCCACTCTAGGCTGTCAGCCTGGGCTAACGCGCGGAGCATTTTCCATTCTCTTCTACATCGTGGGCTGGAGCACACAAGCCAGAACAGGGTACTTCTGTCTTAGGCTTGACTTCCCTATTTCTTTCCCTTCTCCCTCCACCACCCTTCCTCCTCTCCACTCCTTCTCCCCTCCTTCTAGTGGAGCGGAGAGGGTCTCAAGTAGCACAGGTTGGCCTTGAACTCCTGATCCACCTCCCCCTCAGTGTTGGGATTACAAGCGGGTACCACACGACTCCGGTTTTATGCAGTGCTGTGGAAAGTCAGGGCGCCGAGCATGCTAGGCAAACACTCTACGAACTGGGATACAATGCAACCCCAGCTAAAGTTCCCTTTAAAGGTCTGTGTCAATTTCTGGCCCTTTAAGTCCCTCCCCCACCCCACCCCAGTTCCTTTCAATTCTCCACACTTTTCTCTCTCCCCACCTGCAATTCGCCCTCGCCTCCCTCAGGGAGTTTCTCCAATCCTCTCCTCGTGTCCTTCTACAGCCCCCACCCTTCCCTCCGCAGCGCGTCTCCAGTGTCGTCTTCTGTCCCCCTGCGCTTTTTCCCTTTCCCCTCACGACACACCTCTGCAGCAGGCGACCTTCCACCGCCACGTCCAATGCTGGGGCTACCCCTCTGACCTCCCGGATCGCCCCGAGCTCCTGCAGACTCGCCTCACCCCAACCAAACCCAGTTTCCCCCCGGATCCACTCACAGGAGGCCGGAGCAGGTGGTGCAGACGAAGCTGCCCACGGTGATGTCCACATACGTGACCCCGCGCTGGGCGCACTCGAAACAGTGGCGGTTCCCGGCCTGGCTGCAGCCGCCCAGCTCCCGCACTCGGCGGCACCACACCTCCGAAGCCGCTTCAGCCTCCGCTTTGCTCCCTCCGACCCCGCCACCCGGGCCCGGGCCCTTCTTAGCCGCCATCACCATCTCTCCTCCAGGTTCCTCTGCAAGTCAGCGGTCGCTCCCCTTTAACCGCTAGCTGCCTTTCCCGCCTCCGCCGCCTTCGCACGCCCGCAACCCTGACACCAGCTCCTGCAGCCCCGACCACGACCGCGAGAGACTCCGCCGCCCCCTTCCTCGTCTTGTTCTGCACGCTGATTGGCTAGTCTCCCCCCACCTCCTCGCTCTGATTGGTTCGATTCGGGACGGCCTCCGGTTGCTGGAGCCTTTAGAGCCACGCCCCACTGCCGCCCGGCCTCCTGCCTGTTCCATTGGTTCACAAAGACCCCCACCGTGCAAGTACAGTGCGTGCCCTCCTCCTTGTCCCCGCCCCCTCTCGCCACGGACTCCTATGCTGACTCTGATTGGTTATTAAGGTTGCAAAATTAGCGTGCGAGAGAAAGGAGGTGTTCGGCGCGTGCGTAGTGCTCATCCTCTGGATTGATACTAATTCCCGCCAAATTTCAAAGGCTTGTTCCAGGCTGAGCCAGGAGACAAGCAAATCAGAAAGAAATTGCCCTAGGAGGGGCTGGAGGAGAAAGGGAAAGCTAGAGAAGGAGAGTGCTTTATAAAAGATATTTTATTTATCCGAGTCTTAGGAGGAGCCCTCACTCTAGAGTCAAGTTAAAAACCTGAGGTGGGATGCAGAAGAAATGCTTAAGGGATGAAGGGCGTTTGCCATCAACCTTCACAACCTGAGCTGGTTCCCCGGATCCCACTCCTGTAAGAAAGCTGACTCCTATAAGCTGTCTTCTGATTTCCGTGAGTGTATACACATGCACACACACACAGTGCACCCACGAGCACACAAATAAATAAATGTATGTAAAAAAATATTCAGGGAAACATGTTGAAGTAGATCATAGAACTGGTTTGTAGCTCAGTCAGAGTTTGAACCTGAGTCTTTTGATCTGAACCCAGGGATGTATCTCAGCTGGCTGAGTGCCTCACATGCAGTAAGCTCAAGGTTCAATCCCCCAGCACTGCGTACAACTCAGATACACTACATATTACTCAGGCCAGTGATCCCAGCATTTGGGAAGTGGCAGTAGGAGTATCAGTAGTTCAAAGTCATCCTCAGTCACTGCTTGAAAAGGGAAAGGCTGAAAGTGAGCAAGTTTAGGGATGCTGACAACCATAAATTGGGAGTTTGGTTTCAGACATGTCAATGGGCTGTGGGCTGATGAGAGATAGGTTTACGAGTCACCAGTACACAGAAGCCCACGGACTAGATGAGGTTGCTTAGTTGTTACATATACGTGAAGACTAGAACATCCAGGGCTCGGGAGATGGTCTATCAGTGAAGTGCTTGACTTGCAAACCTGAGGACCTGAGTTTGATCCCCAGGACCCACGTCAAAGCCAGTGTGCACCTGGAATTCTAGAGCTGGGGAGGCAGAGACAGGAGGATACCCTGGGGCTTGATGGCCAGCCAGTCTAGCCAAATTAGTGAGCTCCAGGCCACTGAGAGATACTTGCTAAAAAAAGAAGAAGAAGAAGGAGAAGGAGAAGTAGAAGGAGAAGGAGAAGAAGAAGGGAGGTTGAAATGTTTTAGGAAGATACCTGCTGTTGACCTCTGGTTTCTAAATACTTGTACACACACATACTCACACAAGCAGGCTGTGTGTAAGGGTATCTTCCATAGTGGGTTGCTGGATCAGTGAGTAGGAACAGTATTTGATTCCCTGGGATGGTGAAATATATACATCCATGCAAACATCCAGGAAGAGTCTGGTGAGAGCCAACGGTGAACTCTATTATCCCAAGTCTCCAGCAATCATAGCCACAAATGGACTTCACCCCTGAACAGAGGTGACGCCAAGTCCCCATGCACATATGCAGGGGAGCCATTTTTGTTCACTTAAAACATGACTGCATGCTATGATTGCACATGCCTTGAATTCCAAGCAGGTGGACCTCTATGAGTTCTAGGCCAGCCTGGTTTATGTAGTGAGTTCCAAGGAGTTTACACAGTGAAATCCTGTCTCAAGAAGAAAAAAAAAGCCTCTTGTACATTTCCAGAGCTCAGCATCCAGCATTTCCCTATGCATATACCAATTTTTGCACAGTTTTTCTTTAGCCAGTGGTTATTTCTTCACCTCTTAGAATGTTACCCACCACCAATAGCAAAATAAATGCATTGGGATTGGGATGATCAGTGGGCTCTGTTAGCTTTCAGTCCGTCTTTTGCTGCAGGGTGTGGTCTGCAAGAGCGACCAGAGGGTGCTTCCTCATCCTGTGTCTACTCCACCCAGGCCATATCAGGGAGTGACAACCCTATTTCCCCCTCATAATCAGCAAGAGCTCAGGCAGCCCGGGGACATCCCCTTCTGCTATTGCTCTAGTGACCTGGTGGAGGCCTCGGTGGCTTTCCTGGTAAGAGCCCTTCACCCTTGGGGAGTTAAGTCTACAGAACCCAAGCGATTAGGGGGGTGGAAAGCAAACAGTGTTTTCAAAGAGTATCCCAGTGGGAGCTGGAGAGGTGTCTCAGCAATTAGCAACCCTTGCTGCTCCCCGAAGGATGCAAGTTTCATTCCCAGTATCCACACTGGGTGACTCACAACCATTGTTACTCCAGCTCCAAGGGCTCAATGACTTCTGTCTTCAGGACACTGGCCCCCTTACCACCAATAACTGGGGGTGGAGGAAACAGTAGTGATAGCCTAGATTGGTAGCTCAGTCAGTTAAGGGCTCACCATGCAAGCATGAAGACCTGAACTTGATCTCTTGAAATTCATGTGAAAAGGCTACACATGATAATACGTGCTGGTAATCCCACTTCTGGGAAGGAGCTCACCAGCCAGCCTAGCCTGCTAATTCAGGGAACCCCAGATTCAAATGAGGGCCCTTGCCGCAGAAAACAAAGAAGGGAAGAGCTTGTAATGGTGGCGCACACATTTAATCCCAGCACATGAGAAGCAGAGGCAGGTAGATCTCTGTGAGTTTCAGGGCAGCCTGGTCAACATACCAAGCTCCAGGACAGCCTGGACTATGTAGAGAAACCCTGTTTCTCCTCCCCCTCCCACCAGCACCAAAAGCAAATAAACAGAAAAGCAAGGTGGTTAATAATAAGAAAGAAATCAAGGGGCTGAAGAGATGGCTCGGTGGTTAAGAACACTAGCTGCTCTTGCAGTAGACCTGAGTTTGATCCCCAGTACCCACATGGTGGTTTACAACCGTCTGACCCTGGGGATCTAAAGCCTTCCTCTGACCTCTGAGGGCCCCAGGCATGCATGTGGTATACACAGACATATGTGCAGTCCAAACACCCATACACATAGAATAAAATAAATACATCTTAAAAAAAAAAAGCCAGCAGACGGCTCCTACACACACACACACACACACACACACACACACACACACACGAGTAGTGATTGTGAGAGTTTCCCAGACCTCTTCTATTTAATTTCTGTCTTGGCTGGAAAAAAACTTGACACTTCGTGTCAGTCACTGGATCACATAATCCCATTAGCAAGAGAGGGTCCAGCCTCCCAGATGTCGTCTCCTGGATACCACTAGATCAGTTTTCAGGGACCATTTCATTGTCATTATTTGGCCAGCTGCTTCTGGTGCATAGGAAATATGATAACAGTCCTTGCCTGGCCAACTGTCTTTTTTCTTCTTTACTTGTGTGCATGTATGTGTGTGTGCACAGGCATTCGTGTACATGTATGTATGTTCATCTGAATATAGAAGTCAACCTCCGGAGTTGTCCCTCAGGTGCTGGGCACCTTACTTCTTGAGATAGAGTCTTTCACTGTCCCAAATATTATTGATGAAGTTAGGCTAACTGGCAGTGAGCCCCAGGGATCCATCCCCCTGTCTCTGTGACCCAGGGCTGGGATTACAAACTTCTGTTACCACACCTGACTGGAGTGGGAATTGAATTTAGGTCCCCATGCTGTACCTTTAGCGCCTTACTGAGTGAGCTGTCTCTCCCATCCATGTCTCCTTTCATCTAGAAGCATGGTTTGTGGTTAGAGATACAGTCCTGGCTGGACCACCATCAGGGATCCCAGCAATGAACATAATAGTCACTACCATCTCAGTGACTACCTGCAGGAGACCATCAACAAGGTCAGGCCTGTTGATGTTCCATCTTAGGAGTGAGTAGAGAGAGTAATTTGTTCCTCAACTAAGATTCCAACCACTCTGCGACTGGCTAGCTCCACCCCAAGCTCTATGTAATCCTCCTGCCTTAGCTCTGTGTCATCTTGGAAGGCTAACAGAAGGCAGAGCCCATCTACGCAGCTATGGGGAATTGTCATCTGTGGGGAAGCCTTGTGTGAGTGAGGTCCGGTGTAAATCCATGCTGTTTCTGTGTCCACGTCAAGGACCCCATAGGCCCAAGCTCAGAGAGATGACAAAGCCGTCCTCAGGGGACCAAGCGTGAATGTTGACAGTGTGTGCAGAAGATGTTCACCATCGTTTTCTCCCCCCTGAGGTGTATGGCCTGAAGACTGTTCCCCTCCAGAGACTGCCCTGTCTAAGGTTAGCTAACCCTGCCTCCTTGACAGAGCTGTATACCGTAAACACTACTCCTTGTCTGTCTGAGCACAATAACCCTGCCTCTCCATTCATCTCTATGTAATAAACACACTAACCACCATTGGTGCTGAGGTCTCTCCAGCAGAGATTCTGGATCACTGGATCCCAGCTTTCTGTGTGTCTGCATTTTATTTATCCCATCACTGCCCTAGGGAGGACTATACCCTTGAGCCATGTTGAACACAGATTCACTCTACCATTTATATAATTAAATTATTTAAACTTGCTTATTTGTTTGTTTGTTTATTGAGACGGAGTCTCTCTATGTAGTCCAGAAACGTGCTATGAAGATCAGGCTGGTCTAGAACTCACAGAAATCTGCCTACCCACTTCCTGAGTGCTGGGTTTAAAGGCATGTACCACTACAGACCGGATTCTTTATTTTTGAGACAAGGTATTTTGCTGTGTAGCTCAGGCTGGCCTGAAGCTTACTATGCATCTTCAGCTGGCCTTGAACTCTGGCTGGTTTTGCCTCAGCTTCCTAGATGCTTCAACCAGAGGCCTGAGCCACCACACCTAACTAGAAACAAGATTTTTAAGAAAAGATTGAGG